CCCCAAAACCCCAAAACCCCAAAACCCCGAGATAGCATATAAATATAGAAAGGTCTTGACAATAATAAATAAAATACAATGAGCAATATTTTTAGTGGCTTCTGTCTTTGCAACTTTCAGAACCAGTTGAAGAGTGTTCCTCAGGCGATCCCAGTTGTTTCGTTGGTCCCAGTCAAGTGTCATAGACAAATCAAAGCCATCCACACCTATGACTTCTCGAGACACCAAGAGAAACTCAAGGAGAAGCTTTTCTACATGCTGGGCACTGGACTCCCATTCGTGCTTGCCAAGAAGAAGGCTTCCATTTCGAGCAACAAGAAAGTCAGCAAGAGAAGAACCAGGTTCACAGGAGTGACCAAGAACTCAGTGAACTACCAGACTCTGATCGTGGTTGGAGGCAAGAAGACTTACGTGGGAAGCTACCCTCTCGAAGTCGACGCGGCGATCACCTTTGACTTCTACTCGATGATGCTGCATAACAACAAGGCTCCAACCAACTTTTCGTGGAGAGCGGAAGAAGTCTTCGAAATGCTGGAGAGCTTCAACCAGAACGGAGGAGTGTTCGAGGCTTCTCTGTTCAGACACAAAGTATGCTAATTCTTTTAACAAGTTTAAATAAACGTCTTGGGTCCATTCCTGGTTATTGCCTCTTGGGAAGGCTTATTTGAAGCCTAAATTGCCACCATTTGTAGTTTCTTTTAGTGCTGATTTGTTACATCTCTGAATCATGGTGAGTAAAGTCTCTCCATGTTGTCAGAGTTCTTCTACCAAACTGGAATTTAAGAAAATAGAGAGGCTATGTCCCCTCCTAGCATATCTTCTGTTTCCATATTCTAAGTTAGTGAAGTTTCTTGGTTGTCATCAGAAATTATGAAGAATTTTTAATATTGTTACTTCCAAAGTGTCAGCCGTCTTAAATCACTTGATGAGTTGACCCAATAGATGGATCCAAGAAATTTATAGAGTAAATATTTAGTTAACCCAAAGGTTTATGGCTGCCTCATCTAGGTATTTTTGGTTTATTAAGCAAGAGTTAGTTCTACATCATTTGAGCCTACCTGCTTGATAAGGTTGAGAGTCGTGAATCCAGATGGAATGTGACTGAAATCATTAGAAAATAATGTTTATTTATATAGTCATCGTTGTCTCTAACCCCAAATAAAAGATTCCTAATAGGTTTCATTTCCATATTTTTGCCTAAATTATATCCTTTTTAGTTCTTATGATGAAATCTGAAACAAAATTGGCCGATAAAAAATTGCTTGATAGAGATGCAGAAATTTTAGTTATGAGCTATCCAAGTAAAATTAATTGGCTATTGAGCTTTATGACTTACTCTTTCTCCTTTTTATTAAGTTCAAGAATTGGTCAGTCCGCTCAAAGATATGTTAATAATTTTTCTTTGACCAAACATTAAGCAACAAATTTTGTAACTGGAAATCTTGAGAAGCAAGTGTTATGAGAAAGAGCCTTCTTACTGAGTCAATGATAAAGAAAGTGTCCAATAGTCTTCAATTCTTGGAGCCTAAGTCCTTGTTTAAAGTTCCAACTAAAATACTACCCTACTTCTCTGACTAACTAGAAAGGCAGATATTGGAATATTTAAATTCCTGATGATTCAAGACCGAGCTATGTTCGCCTCTAAGTGATGTTATTAATAACCCAGTAGAACTGATTCCTCCGCTTTCATACGACCCAGAGCATCTCCTTTGATTTCCTAGAGCATCCATGCTACAGAGCTCAGAGAGTTTCTGTGCTCGTCCGAGTAGAGTCATAGTAATTAAGTTAGACTTGATGCTTCTAACTTTGAGTACCACTGAAGAATCATTTTTAATGATTGCTTGGAAGAACATTTAGAGTCTATTGTGCTATATAGAGGTCTCTCATAAATATTTAAGTCCGCAAATTCATGGAATGGCGCATCCCTCATGCATTGGTGATAGTACAAAGTTAAATTTTTGTATGCACTCTGTTGTTCTTAGAAAATTTAGAACCTGAAAGTTTTGAAAATCGATATTGAGAACTATAAGGAAATACTATATTAGATACAGAACAGATCTGCTCTTTTGCATTTCCTTAGCTTTTATTCTTTCTGCTAGAGTCTTCATAAGCTTACTGCTTTATATGAAGCGAAGCTTGTGTTGTATAGAATTGCAATCAGTCTCTTGAAAGCTGACTTCATAAAAATTTCATACTACCTCACCACTCAGATATACAAACTTAGCAAAATCAATGCTTGTAAGCCTCAATAATCAGATTGACAGCCTGAAAATAATTAAAAACAACTTACTTATGTAGTTGGATCTCAGTTTCTCAAATTAGGGCTGATCTTGCATAAGTTTGGGACTAAACATACTACCATTTCTAGTTGACTTGCTTGTTAGGTTTCTACCTATCAAACTTAATAAACTGACCATACTAGTTTTGGTCACAAATTTATGTAGAATTGTATTATTTCTATGCCATTACTTGTGAGAACTTCCTCAAAGCTTTGATCTGAGTTGTTGTTTTTCATAAACGTTGGTCACAGTTCTTACATCTTAGCTAAAATGGAGGCCACAATTAAATATTTTCAAGAGGGATTTCACGAAATATTGCAAAACATTACTAAAATGTTGCTATAGTTGCAGGGTTTATTAATTTTATCCAAGTAATCCAGTATTTAACAGTTTTCATTTGCCTAGTCAGGATTTCTCAAAAACTGTACAAGAATGTGACCGCTGGGTAAATTAAGAGGAAGAAAATGATCCTCCAACCCTCTAACTTATTCTGTTATTTGCTCAAACAACTTTCAAGTGAAAGAGGTTTATTTAAGAAGCTTGAAAGTTATCGTCAATTTGGTGTGGGTTCGAACTATCACAGTTTGGAGGAAATCATTATGACTATAAGTTCTCTTACCTTTCAGCCAAATTTTAAGCATAACTTGATTCAATGACTTGAAACTTCTCAATGATCACTAAAGTATCATAAAATAGCCGATTTCTCTATTTTCAGCGATATCTAGCTTCTGGGTTCTTCTATTCTCCAACCTTTGAAGGACTCATCGCTTATAAAACTAGATGGCTAGTGAATTAATTTTAAATTTAGGCTGAATGGAATTGTAAGAAGCAAGGACTTCTTCTTCATAATATAGTGCTCTTCTTGATGACTGCCTTTGCAAGGTTTAACTTACATAAGTTTGAAATTAAAATATTTGCAGGTTTAACAATATGACTGAGACTACCAGCATTAGCAGCTTTGCACTCAGTAAGTCTTTAAGCCTGAGCTTGACTTAGCTATTATAGAACTCTTTTGTATAATAAATATGCCCTCATATCGTCCTCACTGTTGCATTTTTAGCTCTCAGTGGTGAAAGGTTGTCCATGCATGTTGCTAAATCAAGTTTCAGTTTGAAATAGAATTAGATGAGGGAAATTCTGTTTGTCCTATACCAAATTTGGGTGCCTGATCAACTTCTTGCATCAATAATTTTGGGAATTGGTTTCAGGTGTCTATTTGCATACCATCGTGTAAGCGATGGCTACATCTCTGTTAGAATGGTGCTATTTGCATAGCTTAATTTTTAAGGTAAACTCACAAACTTATCAAAGATGGAGGAACTCAGGAAGAAGTTGCAATATTTTCCTCCTAAAGCTTCGAATTATTCAGATAAACATGAGAGTTGCTTTGGAAAGAGTTTAAAGTTCCAACCTCTTAAGAGTTAGCACTAGCAAGCTGAAACAATCCAACGTTATGACTCTGGAGCAAACCATTGATGCTGGAAGAGATGCAATAGCTTTTATTCTACCACAAAAGATAGAGGAGACTAATATAGCTAAAGAGAGTAGGGACAGTAAGCTTTCCTAATCACCGATGTATTTTGACAGTATTTTATTGCTTTCCAGAACTTTACCTTCCGGAAATCTTATATAAGAAGTGGGAATAGCCTAAATCGTTCCATATTTTGTTTTGAGAAGTCTTAAAATTTGGTAAAAGTAAGAACTAATTGCCAATTAAGTTTGCTAGATTTCTCAGCGTTGAGAATTAGGGACAAGGACATAGCAAATTTCAGAAATTTTAGTTATAAAACACCATCATGGAGTATTTTTAAGAATTATAGGATTCTGATTAGAAGAAGATGTTTCAGTTTTATTATTGCTACAAGAAGGTTTAGAAAGATCCTCCCAACATTATAAGTTATGAATGAGGTAAATTTCTGAATGGATCTCAAACTCTCTAAATGCTTATTTTCTATATCTGAGGATTCTTTGAGTTGATGATGAAAAAATGTCAGATTTGCTAACCTAGAAATGGAGGTTACTGCAAATCACTCAAATAACCAACTAACTCTTCTATCTAACTCGCAAAAGCAATCAATTATCTAAATCTGGGAAGTCTCCAGATAGGCTGGCATGCTTCTACTACAATCGAGTCATCTTGCAAAGTTTAACTAACTTCAATATTTTATAGAAATTTTTGAACTCAAAGGGTAAATCACAACTTGACAATCCATTTGGGCTACTATCTTTACAGCAAAAGGCTGATACTAAAGAATCGAATAGGCACAAGATAGAGCCTATTGACGATGATCTCCACTAACAAATGGATAAGCCCATGGCCAAAGATGGCTCCATGATGCATCTCAATATTAAGATTCTTCCTTAATTTCCACATTGGGGAATACCGAGGGGTTTTGGGGTTTTGGGGTTTTGGGG